GTTCACATGGCCTCTAAAGAATAAGAGCCCCTTGAACCACCAGCCCCAGCAATAGCACTAGAAGAGAGAGAGACCCTCAGCTGCTGGGGAGTCCCTGCCCCAACTTGATCTTCCCCCACACTGAGACTCTCACATTCTTGACACAGTTTCCATCAAATCTCCCTGAGAAAGTGGAGGGGCTTGGAGAGCCCATCTTGTCATGTACCATCAATAAAGTACGCTCTACTCAGCCAAAAAAAATTCTACAATGAGTTACTGTTGTGGTTGGTTGGTTTTGGGTTTTTTGTTTGTTTGGGGTTTTTTTTTTTACAGTTGTGTTTTTAAGAATGTTACAAGTGGCAGATAGCAGATAGATAAAGTGATATGAATAAAGGTACTTAAAGGAGCTGAAAAATATTTTTTCATATACATAAAATATTGATGCCAAAGCTAAACTTATGCCCACTGTTTTATTAAGATTACTGGATTCTCTATATTAAAAGATGATGATGATGATGATGACGATGACGACGTGGCCCTTCTGTCCCAGCTCTAACTGTGTTACTTTTAGCTTTATCATGAAAAATTTTTTTCACAGATGTAGTAGGTAAAGAGACCACAGGAATTGCATATATACAGTTAAGGGGGTAAAAAAGTGGTTGTCAAGTAAAAATAAGTGATTAATGCAGGGATAGAATTTCTATCATCAAAGTAGTTTAAGTGACACAGGAATGTGGTATACTGACGCACTCTTTCTTGTAATCTTGTTATCTCAAGAAAGAAAAGAAGAATGAATAATGTGGAACTACAGTCAATAATAGGAAGGTCATAAGCAGTTGTGCTGCTAAACCAAAGGTGGTACCTCTCTGATGCTTTGAATCTACCAGCAACTGTGCAAGAGAAAGATAGGCAATCTCCTCCTGTGCTGTTTTTATAGCCTTTGAAAATCCATTGGAGGATGAGCTATGAGTAGATTCTGTCTTGTTGACAATGAGTTGATTGTTGCTGGTTTTTTTTATCATCTTAAGGGTGGCACAAGACCAGGAAATAATTGTGTTGTGTATGAGGTTACCATGAGTTGAGAGCCAATGTAATGGGAGCTACCAAGAAACAACATCTATCTTTTATTTTATTTAGGAAAAGGAAAAATTGATATTTACAGGTTTTGTGTGAGTGCAGTCAACAATGGACATAACAAAATAAAGTGCACTGATTTCTGAACCTTACTTTACAATATATTCTAAAACTAAGGCAGATAGTTATCAGATCAAGTGAATGTCATAAAATGCTAATATGATAGAATGCTAGGTGTATACTTCTTTACGTTTTCTATACACTAATAAATTTTCTAATAAAATTGGAGAACAGAAAGTCAAGTGCTTTGTAAGAGGCTTTGATTCTCTGGATTCAGTAGAATTTGTCATCAAGATTTATTGGCGGTAGAGCAAATCTCAAGCATTTTTAAATCAAGATTGATACCAACATACTTGTTTTTAAACATATAGTCCTGAAGTAATAGTAACTTATTTTTATTTTTATCCAATTCTATTTTATTAATTCTTACAGTACACTCTTCCTTTTCTTTTTATTCCTAATTTTATAGCTGTCTTACTTAATGCTATTCAATGTACTATATTTGAGTAAACTTGTGGTGTAATCCATAGGGAGTTGTCCTATTAACCCAAAGGCTGAAAATGACAGTTCAAATCTACCAGTGGCTCTAAAAGAGAAGGATGCTTAAGATTGCTTACAGCCTCAGAAACCCAATGAAGGGTCAGCTAAGAGTTGGTTCCAACACTAAGGCTGTGAGATTCTTTTAAGTATATGTACAAACAGATATCTCCAGTTTAGACAGTAGTTTAAGACAAATAGTATGTCAACTGAAGAAATACAATGTTTTGTGTTGGGCTGGTAATGTTGAAGTCAGTGATTAAAATGCACTTGTTTCCCCAACGGAGAAAGAAAATATTTCACATATAGTGTTAGAAAGTGAGTGGATGGTTGCCACCTGTTGGACTCAACTGAAGTTCCAAGTCAGAAGTCTTCAGCTGTTGGTTGTCATTTGGTGTTTGTGAAAACCAGGGGGTGAGGAGCTTAGTAGTTCACAATCACCTAGGCAAAAGTAGTTAAACAAAAGTTTCCTCCTGCATTAACTAAAAAGCTTTTTCTCACTGTAGTTTTGTCTTAAATCTAAATAATATGTGGTTATAATCTGTAAATAATTTTACTTATATCAGTAGCTTCACATTCAGATTTTACTTTTCCTTCGCAATGTGAAATATTTGGCATATTGATGAAGCCAAGATTATTCTTTGTTTATATTATGAAATCTAGGCTTAGTCCTTTTGCCGCTTTATCTCCTGGGCATGTGGCTGGAACAAGGTTGGAAGAAATAGCCTTAAAATAGACCCAACGGTAAGATTCTAGATGTCCTTGCTTTGGACTGAATCATATGGCTTATGAGCTACTCTTTTAGTTTGCAGAATAGACATGTCAGACTGTTGGGCTGTTGGAGTTGGAGGTTGTTTTAGATTTTTGTCATCATTAATAAAGCAAAATAATAAGTTGTGTATGAGCTTTTATTATTCTGAAATCTATTTCATTAGAACATATTTTCTAAAGTTGCATTTGAGTAGATTTATTGACACAAGTTGACCAGTTGCTTTCCAAAATGTTAACATCAATTACTTGTAATGTATGTATTAGCTTCCAAATATAGTGTTTCTTTTTTGAATATAAGGACCTCTGGAGGAGTAACCTGTAGCAGTCCATGTTGTGTTGTCAGCCAAAAGGCCAAGTGTCTCTGGATGTGCAGTCTACTCTTGTGAGCATTTACAACCTCAGAATCCTGATGGAGGTTTATCAGTAAAAATCGTAATTCAGGTTCATTCTTACAATTCAGGGTCATTGTAGATGGTGAGGCTTCATGATTAGTATTAAAAAAAATATTTCTTTGTTCATTTAGTGATTTTGAAGCAAATGAAAACAGAAGTGAAGCTTTTTCTGTAATTTACTGGAATGTTTTCCTTTATTTTACTGGGAAAAAAATATTTCCTCATTTATTTTATAATAAAGACTCCTTGATCCACCTGATAACCTTGAGTATCTTAAATGAAAGGAACACTGTTTTCATCTTCTTTTGTTTGAAAGAACCCTCTTGAAACATACTCCAGTCCCAGAGTTGAGTCCTTATTGGTCACTTGGCCAGCTCTGCTGGCAGGGTCAGTGCTTTTGGCTGCCCTGACCACAAATGATGAGTTAGTCTGGAAGTGAGCGTGAGAGCGGCCCTCAGACCACAGGCTGGCAGGTCACACAGCAGATATCATTCCTAGTGGTGCCAGTGGAAAGGTCACGTGTTATTAATCAAAACCAAATGCCTATATTATTTAAGGGTCTTGGAATGGGGAAATTACATATGTGGCAGCCACCTGTTCCAACCACAGATGACAGTTAAAGCCATTCTTACTCCTCAGCAGAAGCTGGCTAGAGATTGTCTGGGTCAGCTCAGAGTTACAGTTGAGAAAATGATGGAATTCTTCTGCCTTTCATACAAGTAAATACAGACGCCCACATTTTTTACTTTCATAATATTCCCATGAGAGACGTCTCTCTACCACCAAATTTGAATGTGCACATAAGAAGGAAGAAATGGGGAATCCCCAGGACTCGAAGGCGGATGTGGCCATGGCTCTGTGTTTGCTGTTTGTGTAAATGCTTCAGATTGCTGGTGCCCTGTCTGAACATGCGTCTTGTATCTGCAGCAGCACCACCATGCCAAAGCAGACAGTCCTAGGATGGTCTTTAGAAGGATAATTCTTATGAGGAGAGAATAAAGACTCCTATAAAATAAAAATTATGTTTAGGAAGAGTTCCTGAGGAAAGTACCTGCCAGTTGAATACAACCTGTTTTCTTGCTCCACCACTTGGCTCCTAGTTTGGCAACATTGCCATACAGAGGGCGAACTTGGAGAAAGAACTTGGCCATGCCTGAACCTCACCTCCAGAGCCAGAGGCCACAATTCTTCAATCTTGTGATAATTTTGGTTCAAAGTAGAGTCCTTTAACAAATGCCCAGCTTCAAAGCCTTAAACCTCTTTGTTTTGTTGTACTTGCCTCGACTTGCCTTTCAAAGAGCATTTGGAAATAGGGTTTTCACATAACCCTCTCCTTTGATTTTTAAATATAGACAATCCAAGTGCACCTTTATAGTTAAGCTCTTCCCCCAACTGGAAATGTTTTCTTGGCTTAAGCATGCTGCCTTGAAACATTAGGGAGTTAAGAGAACCTTGGTCATGTCTTGACAGGTAATAGTATTAACGCACTCCACTATATGCTGGGTGAATTAACACCAAGTGTGAGCAAACAGGAAGACATGTTAAGTTCTCACCAGCTATATTTTAACTTGTATACTTTCATTTTTGTTGCTCTGAATATTTTATAATTGTTAATCCCTTCTCTTCCTCCTTAGATGCATTTGTTGTTTAGAATGATATTTTTCTTCTCCAGGAATTTGGGGTTTTTTCATTTATACCTTATCAGTGATTTTTAGATTGTCCACGATTGTGGTCAGAAAATATCCCTTGTGTATGTTGCATTTATAAATATTTCCTGGACATGTGATGTGATGTGCTTTCTGTAAAGGAAAAAAAAAGGAATTTTATATTTAGTTGAGCCTAATAATTGTATTATTAAAATGCCTATGATATTTATTTCTTTTTATCTGCTGCCACTTCGATAGACATCCTGCTTGAAAGGCTTTCAGCGTTTTCATCTGACTCTTCAGATTTTAGCGTGTTTTCTTTATGTACTTTGATGTCATATAATTCCATGCCTAACAGGGATCAGCTATGCCTTATTATAAATGGCACTATATGTGTTTTGCCCTGAAATATCCTTTCATCAGAGTGAATATGATAAGCCATTGAACTCACCAACTTAATTGAAGTCAGTTGGTTATTGCTGTATTTTCATGTTATGCTTTCTAACCTTCACTTTTCCCTCTTTTTTTTTCAGTTTGCCAAGGCACGAGTAACAAGCTCACACAACTGGGTACTTATGAAGATCACTTTTTGAGTCTTCAGAGGATGTTCAACAATTGTGAGGTGGTCCTTGGGAATCTGGAAATCACCTATGTACAAAAGAACTATGACCTCAGCTTCTTAAAGGTTAGTTCACAGAATGTAATTGTCCTGTGCAGACATGATAGGAGTTCACAGAAGTAGATAAAGGCCTTCATTTTGAGCACACATATTTTTGATATAACAATTACAAGTTCTTAGGGAGTGTAGATGAGAGTTTTATGAGGACACTTTACATGTTAGTGCCAGTTTATAGCTAGAAATGAATATTAAGAGAGAAGCAGTTTAATCTGTTGTTGCCATCATCTACAACTCATAGTGACCCTATGTACAAAAGCTCTAAACCTTTCCCTGTCCTGAGCCAGTCTGAGTCTGACACCTACCCTCATTGCCCCAGTTATTATGTCAACCCATCTCATTCGGAGTCTTACTCTTCTACACTGTCCCTCCACCTTTCCAAGCATGTTGTCCTTCTCTAAGGATTGATCCCTCCTGGCCACATGCCCCAAATATGTGAGACAGACCTTAAAAATCCTTGCCTCCGGAACAAACTAATAGCTGACTCTCCAGTAGGTTTTTCAAGGCTATAAATCACTCAGAAGGAGATTGCTGATCTTTCTCGCAGGGAGCTACTGGTGGATCTTGACAGTCAAAGAGACATTGACTTTGAGCTAGGAGCACAACTCCATTGGGTCTCAGCCCTAGAGTTCCCCCTGTATCATCACTGCTATTGTTAGGTGCTCTCAGTCTGGCTATGACTCATAGTGACCTTATGAACCATTCCATTTCCTGCTCTAAACTCACCATTTCTGATATGCTTGAGACCAGTGTCACAGTCAACTCCATCTTACTAGAGATTTTTGTTTCTTTTTCTGGTCATTCACTTTTTCCAACATAATGTCCTTTTCCAAGGAATTACCCCTTCTAACAACATACCCAAAAGTGTGTGAGATGAGTTTCACCCTCTTTTGCCTCTAAAGAGCACCCTGATTACATTTCCATTAAGGCAGACTTGTTCATTTTTTGGCACTTAATGGTTTATTCAGTACTCTTCTACAACACCACAATTCAAAAGCATAAGTTCTTCTCTAATCCTTATTGCCCAACTTTTAGATACTTAGGAATCAATTGAAAATACCATGGCTTGTATCATCATAGACACTTGATGTCAAAGTCTTTACCACTACATTGCTACATTACAAACTACCTTGTTAAAAAAAAAATACCCTTCTTTCTAGCATTTGCCAGTTTCTTGGTGTAAATCCCACCAAGACTAATTTCAGGCTCCAGAAAACATCATTTTACAAAATTCCCAAATATTTAACAACGAATCCCAGTGAACCAAGAGGCACTGGCTCTGTGGACTGCTGAGTCCCTAAGAGTTGTCCACTGTCTGGGTCTATTTGGCCTTCTTCTGCATGTCAATATTTTGAAAAAAGACTCAAAGACTGAAGAAATTAGTAAAGCACTTTCCTTTCCCTTTGCATATTTCCAACATCCAGGAAAATAACTGCCATTGCATTGCTTAAGAATGCACATTATCCTCTATGACTGCCAATGAACTTAAGAACAGAAGTGCAAGAATAACTATAAATCTTGACATCTCCTTTGTTCCAGGCTTGACCATCTTCCTAGTTTATGTTTTTAGCTGCTTATGTACAGTACATGTCAGTCAAGGGTCCTGCATCTCTTGGGACCCACTTATTTTTACTCAAAACACCATTTTCCCATTTTATCTCTTAGACAATCCAGGAGGTTGCTGGCTACGTACTTATTGCCCTCAACACGGTGGAGAGGATTCCCTTGGAAAATCTGCAGATTATCAGAGGAAATTTACTGTTTGAAAACACTTATGCCTTGGCTGTTCTGTCCAACTACGGTGTTAATAAAACTGGAGTAAAGGAGCTTCCCATGAGAAACTTACAGGGTGAGCAACAGGGGAGATTATAGGTGGAGGGTGCCTCTGATAGCACACCTTCTTGTCAGCATGTCGCATGTGTTTACTCCACTTTGATTCATCAAGTATGTATGTTTTGAGAGTCGATAGTGTGCAAGAAACAAGGTGGTTAAAGTTAACTGAGATCATGGGAGGTGATAGGATAGGATGGGAATGAAAAAATTAAGCTAGGTCTCCGTTCTTCTAGGGACATGGGAAAATATTCAGAGAGTTAGTGAGATGGGAAGGAAAGGCACTGGGGATCAAAAACAAAGCCCAGGCAAGAGGGAAACTTTATATGTGGAGACTGAATGGCTGCCATGATTGTGGCTTTTATCTCATGTATAAGGACCATGAATTGCACAGACAGAAGAAACCTAAAGCAAACTTCAAATTCACTGCTCTCAAATTAGAACCATCTCATAGCAGGAGAACCTCCAGGAGGTTTTTAGAGGCTGTAAATTAAACGAAGAGGAGATTGTGCATCTTTCTCCCACAGAGCCACTGTAGAATCTTAACTACCAGATATAAGTACTGCTTTTGGGTAGCTATGCAATCCCCTATGGACTGCCTACTAGAGAAGCACATTTGTTTCAAGAGCTCAAATTAGAAAGAAAAGAGTCCAGAGATGATGTGAATCTCTGCCCTCAAAGCCCTCCTCTTCCCTGTGCTGTGCAGTCCTAGTTCCAGGAGAACCTCTAGAGAAGAGAGTTTGCATGCAGAGGTGAGAGGATGCTCACAGACTGAATGGTGCTGTGATCCGGGACCCATGTCAGAAGACAATACCAGACCCAGCCAAATGCTCCCCTTTGTGTGACCTCATTGGTTTTCCATGCTGCAGGATTTCTCAGGAGACTTCACTCACCATGTTAACTGCTCAGGGCTCCTACGCATATGGTCTGGGCTTATGCTGACACTAATTTGCTTTATACATGTATTTGATGTAATGATCTATCACCCAGTCAGTCGCTCTGCTCTGCCCGTCTTGCATCACAGCTCGGTCCTAATGAGAGAGGCAGCATGTGGTGAGGAGCCTGGATTTTGGAGCCAGACTGTCTGGGTTCCAGCCCCAGCTGTCGCTCACCAGCCTGAGGCCCTGGAGCACATTTTTTTGACCTCTTGGTTACCTTGTTTCTGCTCTTAAAAAATGGAGATTATAGTGACAACATGCCTTCTGGGCTATTGAGGTAATGAAGTGATTTGATCAGGTAAAGTATACAGAAGCATTTCTTGTTTTATTGCTATTTTTGAGTGTGATTTTCTAAATCCTGATTATTTAGCATTATTAGTAATTAACTACCCCAAGGCCTTCCATCAGAAGGCATTCATGAAGGTTTGAAAGTAAGAATGCAGAAGTGACTATCCCTGGCCCCTGGGCTGAGCAGGAGAGGTGAGGACTCTTCCCCAGTGTCCTCCACTTTCTCACACAGCTGAATGAGGATACTGTGATAGGCTCCATCTTCAGTTCTTCATCCTCACACAACCTTGTTTGCCTCCGTACTGTTCTCCATGTTATACCTATACTTCTTGTGAGTTCAACCTCATCTCTCCTCAGTCTTTTGCAGCTACTTGTCTCTGGCTCTCCTATCAGTACTTCCCTGTTTCTTGACTGTCACTGCTGCCCTTACACCCTTGCCTGGCCGTCAGATCTCAATAGCCGTTTCCTTCACCATACTTCCTCCCTCCCACTCTTCCTTATTTCTCCACCATTGCTGGAGAAATAATAGTCTTCTCTTTCCACTCTCTGTGCTCTGTGTTGTGGGCATCTGTCTTCTTGCTGTACCTTCAACTCTGTGCTTTTCAAAGTGTGCCTGTTGCCTGTGAAATCACACTTTTTTTTTTGGGCAATGAGTGTTTGAGTTTTATTAAGGTACTTTATCAACACTTGCACCATAAAGCCACACCAATTTATCTTGGTCAAATGTAGTAGGAGTTAAAATAGTTTTTACAATTATAACTTCATCTTGTAACAACACTGCTCTATTTTTTTAAATTCATAATTATTTTTGGAGTTGTTGCTGTTGTTATATTTGGGTTTTTTTCTTTTTTTATTGCAATTTTAATGAAAGGTTATAAAGAACTTGGATTTCCATTCATTCGTTGTTGCAGATTTTCCTCCCTGTCCACCTCCCCCCCACCCAAGATTGCTTTTTTCCTTTGGAAAAAAGTTCTTTCATTGTTTCATAGTCGCCCTGCCTCCAGACCACACGACAGCATTTTTAACAAATGGTGTTGGCAAAATTGAAAAACCATCTGTAGAAAACTCAAACAAGACTCACACCACACACACACAAAAAAACCAATTCAAAGTTGGTCAAGGACCTAAAACTAAAATAAAGGACTATAAACTTCATTAGAGATCCCTAGAAGCACTAATCCACAAAATGAACAGTCTTCAAGCATCCTGAAAAACCTACAACCAGGAGAGGATAAAATAGATGAATGGGACCTTTTAAGAATCTAATCCCTATGCACATCCAAAAACTCCTCCAACAGGGTAAAGAGAGAAGCCATATCCTGGGGGAAAATATTTTATATTTTTGGTCTGATAAGGGACTTATATCTAGAATTTGTAGAATACTGTAGTGTCACAACAAGATAAAAGTAAAAAACTCACTTGCAAAATGGGCACAGAATATGAACAGATACTTTACCAAAGAAGGCATCCAGATGGTGAAGAAACACATGAAGAAATGTTCAAAATCCCTAGTTCTAAGAGAGATGAAAATCAAAACAACTATGAGATAACATCTCACACTAGTAAGAAATCTCACTTTTCCCAGGCGAGTCCTCCTTGTTCACAGGCTGTTTTGCACTTGTGAGATGCTTCTAGGATGCTCGGTTTTGCTAAGTGCAGCTCAGATTGAGATTTCTGTTCTTAAATTACCAACAGGCACCAGATTGTTGTGAGGAGCATCTGAAATGAGGGCTATAAGTCAGCAGAGTGCCCAGTCAGTGCCCAGAGTGCCCTGTCATTCTACCAGGTGCCCAGTCTTTCATGGGCACATGTATGTCTCCCCCCGTCTCTGACATTCCTTAGAAAAAAAGAAACCAGTTTAATACATCTATATGTACTTGCAGCCCTGATCTAAGTCCTCCAATAAATGTTTGTGCTTCACTGAACACATCACTGCACAGTTCCTAAATTGCTCATGCTTGAATTTTTATTTTTTCATCTTAGCCTTTTTATGTCCCCTCAGCCTTCCTTTGAAGTAAGTACCAAGTCTTTCACTTTGCCACAGGGCTTGCTCTGTGGTCTCTGTGGTCTCCTGGCAGTCACTAGTAGTGCCCTTGCCCTCACCACCCCTCATGTGCTGACCAGATTCCCATTCTCTGTGTCACGTTCCCCCATGAAAAGACTCCTGAGTAGGTGAGGTGACTCCCATCTTACCTGAGAACTTGGGACCAATATGTTCCACACTTCAGCCCCCAAGGGACTGCTCATATTCTGTCCACTTCACCCTTGATGCTGTGTCACCACCTGGAATACTCTTCTCTAGATATCTGAATTCTAATCACTGCTCAAGGCCTGACTGGAGAGAAATTGTCCTCTGTCTCCCACTTAGTCTCACAGTGCCAATGGTCAGGTCCCTTGCTTCTCTTCCAGTGAAATGTGCACAAAATGATGTAAAGTCTTCACCTGTCCTGACTGTGGTCCCTTTCTCTTATAGAGATCCTGAGTGGAGCTGTGCGATTCAGCAATAACCTTGTCCTCTGCAACACAGAGACCATCCAATGGAAGGACATCGTCAACAGTGATTTCATGAGCTCCATGTCACTGGACTTTGCTAACAACCCAGGCAGCTGTAAGTATCTACAAAGCTTCTCTCTGTGCCCTGTGCCTGTAGGAGCCTGAATGCACCTTGTGGGCAGGGGTAGAATGGAAGAACATATGTTTAAATGCCCTAGTTAAGTTTCATTACTATTTTCTAGTTGTTGAGAAGTTGTCTACAGGTCATGGCAACTTTAACTCCAGAGGTGTCAGAGAAAAGCTCTGCTTCCCAAGGTTTCAAAGTTTCATTTTTTGGAAATATATCACAAGGTATTTGTTCTAAAGTGGCCATGGGTGAATTCAAACTTTTAACCTTTCCTTACCAGCTGAATACATTCAACATTTGTCCCACTGAAAGACTGTGCTAACTTCAAAACAAAAAGTTTTGGAGTCAGTTCTAACGTATAGTGACCCTCCATCCATTTCTAAGACTGTAAATCTTGAGGTGAGGAGACTCCTCATCTCTCTCCTGTGAAGCCACAGGAGAATTTTGACAGTTGGAGAGATATAGACTTTTGACTAGCAGTGCAGCACACTAAAGACTACCCCAAGTGTCCTAATAGATTACTTTCCAACTTTATTATGGCATGTGCCATCTAGTCAGAACTGATTCAGAGCTGACCCTCCACTGGGTTTTCAGAGGCTGTAGATTGCATGGGAGAAGATTGCCCATCTTTCTCTCATGGAGCAGCTGGGAAATTCATATCAGTGTGGTTTTCTTTTGTTTGTTTGTTTCTTTGGGGGTTGACAGTGCAACTCCTTACCACTAGGCCACCAAAGCTCCCTGTTTGCCAACTCGAAGAATGATATATGAGGCAGAGTTAAAGTCTGTCATCTGTGGTGAGAAGGTTGATGGGAGTTATCTCTAGTTACATCACCACCTCCACCCCTCCCCCCACTCCTACCTTGTGCCTCTGGGAAGAGCACTGAGGACAGGTATGGCTCTGGGGCTTGCCCTGTCCTGAGTCATGTGGGCCAGATTTTGGTGTGTTTATTACTTGCTGCCAAGTCCCACAGTGGTCTGAGGCCTCCAGACACCTGGAGCTGAACTCTGCTCTCCTGAGGATGGGCATTGACACTTTCACTCAGAGCCTCCAGCAGTTAGACACAAGACACAGTAGGAGGTTTGTCCCATTTTCCTTGGTGTTTAATCACTCTTCCCTGCTCCTTCTGTCAGTAGACAGCTAATGGGAGGAAGAGTGCTGGTGCAGGTACCCAGTTGTGGGTAAAGATTGCCACACTCGTGCCATTGCCAGTGCTATGTGGCTTATATTTATCAAGTGACTCTGAACCTCAGTGGTTGTCTAGAATTTCAAAATAAAAAGTTATCATCGCTTCTTGATTCTGTTTTCCTACAATTCAGCAGTGGATGCATATTGGGGGTTTGGTCTTGGAAAGTGAGACAGAGTTTCAAAATCATTGCCTCCAAGGGGGTTAGTTTCACTCTTTCTGGGACACCTTGTTTATTCTCTTTGTGGTTTATGATATGTTCAGTATTCTTTTCCAGCACACAAATTAAAGACATCTATACTTCTTCTGTCATCCTTAGTCATTGTCCAGATCTCTGATGCATAGCAAATAATTGTAAAGACCATAGCCTGAGTCAGGCCTACCTTAGTCTCTAGCCTTCAGTACTCTGACACATTCAATCCCTCATGGAATATTTTCTTAATACAATTTGCCTTTTGATTTCCTGACTTCTGGTGCCAAGCATGTTGATTGTGGAATGAGCAAACTGAAATTGCTAACAATTTCAATCTCTTTACCATCTATCATGGTGATCTGACAGAGTATGGAAATTATTGAAAAATATCACACGCAAGCAAAATCCTGAAGATCATTCAAAAACGACTGGTACAGTAAGTAAATCAGAGAACTAACAGAAATACAAGTTGGGTTACAAGAGGCACAGGGAAATTTATAGCCAATGTTAGATGGATTTTAGCTGAAAGCAGAGAGTACCAGAGGAATGTTTATCTATGTTTCATTGACTATGTAAAGATATTTGACTGTTTGACTGTGTGGATCACAACAAATTGTGGCTAACCTTGAGAAGAATGGGAATCCCAGAACACATGATTTGCTCATGCAAAACCCATATTGGACTAGGAAGCAGTTGTCGGAACAGAGCAAGGAAACACTCCATGGTTCAAAATCAGAGAAGGAGTGCATCACGGATGCATTCTGCCTCCATACCTTTTCAATCTATATGTGGAACAGATTGTTCGGGAAGCTGGACTTTAAGAGGATAAATGTGGTATCAGGAGTGGAGGAAGACTCATCAGCAACCTGCGTTATTTTTGGAAAATAATGTATTCAAACTTTGTGAATAAACAAGTATAATAAAAAAATCTACTAACAATATGCCACAAATTATGGCATTTATTAGATGGAGTGGCATACACTTCCAAAATAGCTTGCCTCCAGAAACTCTAGGAACTTAGAGAAAAGGTGAAAGTTTTTCATGTTCAAGACTTTTGTTCATAGGGTCGCTATGAGACATCTACAACTCGACAATACTTAGCAACAACAACAGGACATTTACTAAGCATCCAAAATCTTTTAAAGTGGATGTAGAAGTGAATGAATAACTGTGAGGAAAGGTATTGCCTGTTTCTGCGGAAAGTTAAATAAATGTTTGTTTTACAAATGAAAACAAACAAACCCCTCCACCCTCTCCGCCGTTATACAGATGACACAATCTTTTTCTATAACTGAGAAAGACCTGAAGCATTTTCTGCAGAAGGTCAAGGACTGTAGTCTTCAATATGGATTGAAGCTTAGTATCTGGAAGACAAAGATTCTCACCACTGGACCAACTGGCAGCACCATGATAATAAAGTAGATTTCCTCAATTATATGCAAAGGTTCTTGACTGTGTGGATAACAGCAAATTATTGCTAACATTGAGAAGAATGGGAATTCCAGAACACTTATTGTGATGATGCAAAACCTGTAACTAGACAAAGATGCTGTTGTCTAACTAAAGCAAGAGCTGAACTGCATGACTTAAAATTAGAATGTGTGTTAGGATTGTATCATTTCTCCTTACGTATTCAATCTGTATACTGAGAGAATCACTCAAGAAGCTAAATTTTGAAGAAAGTGGCATCAGGATCAGAGGAAGTCTCATCAACAAATTGCATTAGACAGATGACACTACTTGGCTTGCAGAGAGTATAGAACACTTGAAACACTTGTTCTGCAGAAGATCAAAGACTATAGCCTTCAATGTGGGTTATGTCTCAACATCAAGAGAACAAAAATCTTCACCACTGTGTTAGTAGGCAACATCATGATTGATGGAGAAAAGAAGAAATTGTCAAAGATTTGATTTTACTTGGATTTACAATCAACAGCCTTGGCACCAGCAGTCAAGAAATCAAAAGACATATTATAGTGTGAAAGTCTGCACTCAAGGATCTCCTCAAAGGACTGAAGAGCAGTGATAATCAGTTTAAACACTAAAGTGCAACGATACAAACTGTGGTCTTTCAGATACTTGCTATGCATCTGAAAGTTGGACAGTGACTAAAGATGAAAGAAGATTTTAGACCTTTGAATTTTGTTTCTGGAGGAGTACTGAATATCCCAGAGATTGCCAAAGAACAAACAAATATGTCTTAGAAGAAGTGCTCCTTAGAGTGAAAGTTCATGCAACTTAATTTGACTATATTTTTAGAAGGGACCAGTCTTTGGAGATAACATTTTGGGAAAAGTGGAGGGCTGACAAAAGAGTGAAAGAAAGACTCTCAAGGAAATGGACTGACGCAATAACTTCCGCTTGAGTTTGACAAAGATCGGGAGGATGGTACAGGCTGGGTTCAGGTTCATAGGGTCACTATAAGTTGTAGTTGACTCAGTGCCACATAACAAACAACAATCTGACGGGCAATGAGGAAGTGAAATTGTGCACATTTAAGAAAGACCTGACACTCATTTAAAATTTATACGTTTGTATACATGGGTTTAAATGAGAAGATAAACTTAAATTCATTACTTCTTCCAAGGATAAACATTTGGAGAATTAAATACATAATAAAGTATTGAATATAATTAAATGCTAAAAAATACCTAAAGACAGATACTTACAACTTTAGCTTCAAGGAAAACAAAAGATGTTCTGGAAGAAAACTGTGGGAGGAAAAGTTAATAACAAGCAGAATATTACATCCTGTTGCCTTGAAAAGGGTTAATAACACGATTTACCAAAACCTCTGGGAAACAGCCAAAGCAGTAATAAGAGATCTATTTATAGCAGTAATCAAACACATTAAAACACCAGAAAAAAAAAGGACCATTGACTCTCTAACCCAATATCTCCAAAAAAATTTAAAAAGAACAACAAGAAAACCCAACAACCTCAAAAAAAATTGAAATTGTAAAAATTAGTGCAGAAATAAAAGAAATAGAAAACAGAACTATATATAAAAGGACAAAATAAAAGAGGCATCATGATTGCCTTTGGCTAAAAATCACATTCATTTTGACATTTAGATCCCTAGGTTTCAGGGATGTGGAGAATCCACTGTGCTCATGCCCTGCTTGTGAGGAGATACATGTTGGTAGTGTGTGTTAAGACCCATGGGCCACCACCCCCAGGACCATGAGAGGGAGCTTCTAGAGGTCCCAGAGGACGAAACAGCACAGTAGGTGGGACCATAAGGGTAGTATCAAAATGCTTCTTACAAGAGTATTTATTGAAGCCTTATTTATAAAAATATTAAAATATAGGCAAATCATGTGTATATCCATAATACATTTATAAAATGGACTATAATATTAGACTAACTCACTCATTACTGTTGAGTTGAACTACCTCAAACCTGACCTTAAAGTCTTTGGAGGCTGTAAATCACACTGGTGAGGGCACCGGGGAGGGGGATTACCCACTTTTCTCCTGCAGAGCAACAAGTGGATTCAAACCACGTGAGAGAGGCACAACCACCTACAGATTACATCATCAGAGATCACTTTAAAATAGAAAAACAATCATGTTGAGTAGAAGGATAATTAAAGGCATGGCATGATTATCACATTTCATTAGGATTAGTTTGTTTGATTTTTCTAGGTTTTATTGGTTGGGGTTTTTTTTGGTTTTTTTTTCATCTTTATTCTTTTTTAGTTTTTTTTAATTTAGGTTGTTTATTTTTCATTTCAATGAACATCTACAGAGATTTTGGGATTCCATTCATTCATTGTTGCACCCTTCTCCCCGCACAAACCCCTCCCCCCTCCCCCCATTTGCTTTTTTTTTAAAAAAAATCTGTTGTTCTGGATTTTTTGTAAAGTTATAATAGAATGCATAATGTAATACCAGTTCTTAGAAACACATATATGTCTGTACTGATTACCTAGAGATAATTCTTTTTTATTTGTGGTTTTATCTATTATTCCTATTTTATATAATGTATCTACATTCTTTTTTATGGTAAGAAGTTAAGAATAGAAGTAAATGCAGACTTTAGACTAATATATTTATTTCCTCCTTTTGGGGAAAGATACTATTAACTATTATTGTTGTAAATACTCCTTCATTTATAAATATGTTATACAGATAGTTGAAATTTGAAAAAATATAGACACATTGGGTAATTAATAAGCATAACTCCAAGACAACTGCTTGCTTTATAAATGTATTGTGCATGCTCTTCCCTCCCTCTGCCTCTCACCCCGATCACAATCTTCACAGTCTGAAGGCACACCCTCTGCCTTCGCATTCCATACTTCAGGCCCACCTGCAGCTAATGCCTTTCCCCACCTCCTGTAGTGGCTACAGAAGTCTTCATCAGACACATTAGCTGGTGTCCTGGTTCAGCAAGCATTTCACAGATTGTCTACTCATTCTTCTGTTAGAAATCTGACTTCCCATGCATCTTCACAGCAAATGCTATCTGCAAGATTGATTTTGATTTAATAAATTCGATGGCTCACCTATGCTATGTAAATATTGCACTCTGACTGCTGAGTTTTAAATCCCGATAAAAATGAGACAGAGCTCATGACATTACAAGCCTTTTTTGCTATAATTTGTAACTGATCAATTTTTAAAACTCCAGAAATTAATGTATTTACAGTCATTTACAGACACATTCCCAGCTGGCATTTACAGACATATTCCCAGCTGGCAGATTTAACAGCTGAGGTTTTTATTAATCAGTCATATGATTCATGTTATCCATCTTTTCACCCTTTGTAAGGCACTCCGTGTCTTTGCTTGGTACAGAAGTGTAATTTACAAAGACTACAGTTAAACTAGAGAGCTCTGAAAACCTAGTGGATAAGAAGTTGTCCTGCCAACACAAAGGCAGGAGATTTGAACTCACCAACTCCTCTGAGGGAGAAAGACAGGCAGTCTCCTCTCCTGTGATTTATGACCTCTGAAAACCCCTGGAGGATCAGCTCTGAGTCAGTTCCAACTTGACACCACAAAACAACAATGAAATTGTCAAGTCGAGATTTATCTTCAGCCTCAGCTCTTCCTAGACACCAAATACTAAGCACAGCAAGAATGTAGTAATTGTCTGCCAGAGACTCAGCCACCTCTGACACTCTTTCCACTATTGTGAAACATTGGGATGTTCACCAAATCCCCCAAGCTTAAGTCCTAGTTTATGACAAGCCAATCATTTCTTCCTGCCTCAGTTTCTAATGCTGAAATAAATATAAGATTACTTCCCTCATTACTGTTTCCCCTCATGTTGTTGTTGTGTACTGTAGAGTTGGAACCGACCCATAGCTGACCATCCAGTGGGTTTTCAGAGGCAGTTAATCGCACAGAAGGAGATTACCCATCCTTCTCCTGCGGAATAGCTGGTGGCCTCAAACAGTGTACTTTTGGAACTGCAGTGCAGCTCCTTGCCACTAGGCCACCAGAGCTCCTTCCCCTCATAGGCAACTTTTAAATCATCTTGAAAACTAAGCAGCAAACAGACTGAAAATGAGAAATTGAAATAGCAGTCCTTGTTTCTAGAATGTTCATTTGCATAGGCAATTAGGAATGGAGGAATCAATTTCCTTTGCCTCATTCCCTTTCTCTCAGGTAGAAATGTAACTGTTACTTTTGTATTTTAGGCCAGAAATGTGACCAAAGTTGCCCCAATGGAAGCTGCTGGGGTGCAGGCCAAGAGAACTGCCAGAAGTGTAAGTGAGTGAGAGAATTTTAGGAGGGGTGTGAAGCTACTGTTCCCTTGTTCCTTAGGTGGTTATGTTTGTTTTCCTCTGGAAGGTTCCAGAAAGCCTTCTTGTCTCAAAGGCCAGATGTTAGTAGTCATGAAAGTGGCAGTCTTGCAGATCTGTCTGCATAAGGTGAATCCAGGGATCCTGTTTTGGGCACAGCTGGCTGTAGAAGGAAATGAAAGTTAGCTGCCAGGTCTACTAGTCACCCTCTTCTAAACGATGCTTGGGAATGAAAGTTTTGTCTGTGTCTGTATGAGTCACCAGATGTCTTGTCCTTTCTCACTTTTTTTTCTTTTATTTTGGTTCCCACTTAGAAAGAAGCATGAGTGGTATCTAGCAGGAGGGTTTTTAGTTGCTTTAGAATGGAAAGATCAGCTCATATATGTGATTAGCTGGCTTCATTCCTGCCATGACCAGGATGCTTGAAACATAAACTTACTGACTGCTTGTCCTTAGATTTAATCGCAGCCTGAATCTTATGTTGATTGGAGCACTGCTTCCTGGATTCTGTTGTTTGTATGCACTTTCCATGTTACCCACAATGTTTTAGTTCTAACTAATATCTAATTATATAGCCAATCTAAAAGTCTAGACATGAGCAGGTTAGTTTTCCCACGTGCCTGAAAATAAAAGCAAAACGAGAAATACAGTCAGGATGGATCGTGATTGGATTTAGTCTGGCCTGTGGTGAATCCCAGGTAGCTTTAACAACCCCAGGATAACAAAACCATCTCTTTTGCCTCCCTCTTTGTCATTCACTTTTTGCAAGTGACCCAGCATCCCTGGACAATGAGGGTAATCCCTCCTTCCTCCTTTATTGTCTTTTTTACCCACAGTTGTCTGCTCTTTTTCAGTGACCAAAACCATCTGTGCCCAGCAGTGCTCAGGACGTTGCCGTGGCAAGAACCCCAGTGACTGCTGCCACAACCAGTGTGCAGCTGGCTGCACAGGACCCCGTGAGAGCGACTGTCTGGTGAGAAAACCTGCAGCCACTGCACACTGTGGGCCTGCAGTGTTACAGTCATGAGGGCATCTCTGACCCCACAAGTGAAAGACTTCTCGTGGGAGGTGCATGTGATCAGTTTACACAAAGCAGATGGCAAAGTTTACTTGATCATCTTATTTCCATTACTTACTATGTGGCCTCAGGCAAATTATATGATGTTTGCATGCCCAACTTGCCTCATCTGAGATGTGGGAATAATAAATCATTGGGTTGGCTTTTTAAATGTAATCTAAATGCCATAAAGCAGCCATAACCAGGACTTGGGTACAAAACCCATATCTGTAGTAACCAGCATTTATTATTGCTGCCACTAATGCTGTCATTGAAATTGTTATGATGTGTCATGTTTCATGGAAGTCTCATTGGAAGTCTAGAGAATTGGCATGCTAACATCTGGAATATGTACATACCTGTTACAAGATCAGTCTAAGCCACACATATGTGAGTGGTGTGACTGGGACCCAAAGCTTTGCTTGCCACCTTGCTGGATGCCACCCATTGCTACCCCTCATGTGGAAGCAGTGTGGAGTCCTTGGAACATCATAGTCAGTATGTGTAAATCCTGGAGTCAGTGCCCAAATCAGAAAACAAGACCCACCTCTGACCTACCCAGAGTACCTGGCTCAACTCACAGGTGTCTCTCAGTCCTGAAAGCAGACGGCAGGGCTGGTCTGCTGTGCGGGAACCACTATAGGTTGCTATCCTATGTGTGTTAGAAGCTTCGTTCAAGCAGCGTTGGAGCTCTTCTCCCTCTGTATTTTGCTTCCTAGTTAAAACATCTACTATCGGGCAGTAAGTTCTAGAATCTGCCCCTAACTGTCCTTGATAAGGAAATTCCAGTATAATTTAGGTTTGGAAGTCATTTTACCTGGGGAGACAGCTTTTCTGCCTGAACTTCATAATTTTATGAATCAATAGAGATAAGTGTTTTCTCTGATTTTTTTAATCATAAAACATCAGAGTTAGAACAGTATTTTCATAATAAATATATCCTTTTCGTTAATTTGCTACAAAAGTAACGTACATATTTGTACTTTTATGGGGAACTGTACAGCCTAGCTCATGTGAACTAGTCTCCCAGGAATGCTACATTCACCGCCACTTATATTTTCACAAAGAAAAATTTTAGTGTAAGCCCAGTGTTCTGTCCTCCTTCAATATGTACAGTTTTGTTTTCAGTGCTACCAAGCTTGTTTCAGCTCCCTTGTTTTGAACTGTCTCGGTGGGTACTGCGTGTGTGACTTTTATGTGGGCACATTATGTGTTGGGAGTTTTGGTATACTTTGAAGTGAAAGCTTTAAATGACACTAGAGCTTTCCTGGATGTCCCTAGACACCTACCTCAACATTGGGATCTGCACAAGGAACTTTGCAGAGTGAGCCAGCAGAAATGTCATGCCTCCTCTACTCTGGGCTTCCAGTTTCCCTGTCTTGTGTGAATCATTCGTTGCACCCTTGCTATGACAGGTCTGCCGCAAGTTTCGCGATGAAGCCACCTGCAAAGATACCTGTCCGCCTCTGATGCTCTACAACCCCACCACATACCAGATGGATGTCAACCCTGATGGAAAGTACAGTTTTGGTGCCACGTGTGTGAAGAAGTGTCCTCGTGAGTTCATTACCAATAAAACATCATGGCCACTCAGGCTTTGGTTTCCTTGTGTCTGTCCTGTGTGGATCCCAGGAACTCCCTGTCTTTGTTGTCTCTCTGCTTTTCCACAGAGGGTTGTGTGCTTGGAAGGAGTGTGTCATCAAGTGCTGCAGTTAAGGGCCAGGTCCCTGCTGGAAAGCACAGTGACCCATTTTACAGCAAGCACCCTTCACGAGGTCAGCACATCCTCTCACAGGCCAGGACCATGTGAAGATTTTTGTTATGGGAACTAGGCTGTGTGCCAGAGGATGTACATTTCCTAGTCCAATCCCTGGACACTTGAGGTCCCACTATAAAGGGTCAGTTGTCTGATCGCCAGCAAAATCACAGCCAACAGTCCATTTCACAGTTTACTCCTTGTTCCAAGCCTTTGTTGAGTCACTCACTCACTCGTTGTTGAGTCAGAAACAACTAGTAGCTGACCCTTCAGTAGGTTTCTGAGGATGTAAGTTGCATGAGTGGAGATTGCTCTTTTTCTAGAAGGACCACCAGTGGATCCAAACCACTAGAGAGGTGCCACTTGTGGGCTAGCAGGACAACTACCTACAGATTGCGCCATTAGCTAAGAAATACATGTAAAAGAACAGTTATGAGCGGGAGACTTGTCCTACCAGATGTGTGGGTATTAAAAAATATTATGACACAATTAAAAAATAAATGTGAGATAAATAACAAAAGAGGACAAAGAACAATTTTCAATGGTCTATCTGACTGTAAAAGGAGCAAAGACAACATGAGGGCAGCTGAGTCTGACCTTTACTAACTCCTCAAGGGAGAACTGTCTGCACCACCAGCATCCACAGTTAACACTGACCTCTGTAAGGTCAGAAGTCACCCCAACTCTGCTGCACCTACGTTTACCAATTATGAGGTCTGATATTCATTGCAAATGACCATGCAGACTTTACAGAATCTTTTTTCACTCATAGTTGTAGTGTTTATTAGGGAAACATGGTAGGGAAGGAGGAAGAAAGCAAAGGATATCACACAGTGAAAGACCAAGTTTAGTAAATAGCTATCCCCAGCCAGGTTAACCACACCTTCTTAGTTGATAGCAAGATGTCTCTAGCACAGGAACTCTGACTCTGAAGTACACACACTGCTTTTTACTACTTCTTTCCTGGTGTTAGATTTCAGTCTCAAGGGATCTGGCCCTGGCTCCATCTGCCTCTGTCAGGCTACACCTCACCGCAGTCAGGCAGGCTACACCTCACCACAGTCTCACTACAGTCTGGTTAGCGCTTTCTCTTAAATTGGCCTCACAGCTGTTGATGATGTTGAAAATGCTGATCAGCAATGAGCCACTTCTCTGCAATTGAGGCAACTGGAAACCATGCTACCAGGGGAACTAAGAGTGGCAAGTATAACCTCAAAGATTCATTTTCCTTACATGTTCCCACCTAGGCATTTGGTCAGGTCTGAGGCAATGAATAGAAAATTCATTCATAAAAAGCCCTACCGCTGCAATGACAAAGATAGAATCTTGAGAGAAAACTTAATAGAAAGAACTTTAAAATCCACATGAAAACACTTAAGAGCCTAAAGGAAACAAAATAAATGTTTTTTGAAGAGAACAAAAGCAGATAATTCACAGCAGGAGAATCACAAATAATTAGTACATGTTTTTGTGGAGCTAGTGAGAAAATTAAAATAGGGATGAGTAGAATTCCTAAAACATCAAATATAAATTAATACAAATCAGTTTCTCTAAGGGGAAAATGGAGTCATTTGGTCTTTCCAGCACCTCTACTTCTCCCATTTGAAGGATATCCCCGAATGGGTAACTAAGCATTGACCATGAGCATCCTCAACAACAGCAGCTTCAGTCAAGAGGGGTTTTTGTCTACTGTACCACACTCTTCAGTAAATATTGAGGCTTTAACTGCAGGTGCAGCATGCAAGGGTGAGAAGAGGGGCGGTAATGGACATTAGTAAGGAACTATGAGCTCATAAGCCCACACAGTGTTTTCACGCCAACACTTTCATTTCCTGCCTGTGATGAAATAAATTTATTTCTACATTGGTACAGTCTATGATGCTGTTAGACTCTTAACTTTTCTGAATGTAATCTTTCATTCTTTGTCTTCAAGCTGTAGGATTAGGGGACCTTTGCACAGCCCTTTTATGACAAGACTTGGGAACACCTGGTGCTGTTTTCATCACCTGCCTCTCTGTTCTCTTCAGATAACTACGTGGTGACAGACCACGGGTCATGTGTCCGTTCATGTGGTTCTGACAGCTACGAGGTGGAGGAGGATGGGGTCCGCAAGTGTAAGAAGTGTGAGGGGCCTTGTCGGAAAGGTAGGAAGCTTTGGTGGTGGCATCCCACTTAAGGGGAACCTTGACTAAAGTTACTTCTGTGTGTTTAGATCGGTGTTCTTTTGTTTACACTGAGGCCTTTTCAATACTAATTTTTATTTATTTCTCTCTTAATTTAGAAAATGTGCAACATTGCTCTCAAACTCTCTGCGTTTGGGTACACGTTCTATGTGTGCATGTGTGTGCATGTATGCCTACGCCTGTGTCTTTACTGAACCATGTGATTCATGGGAAATATGCAAATTTGAACTTTTTTTTCTTTTATAACCAAAGATGAGGTCTTCACACTCAGATGTTTACGTTGATTCAATAGAGTTTTCTAGTATTGATTTTCATTCTGATTTCCCCTTCATTTCCCAATAAATCACTTGAAGTTGTTTCTCATTTCTCCCCAAAAAGTGTCCTGGACCTCATTTAGGTACCTTGTCTCTGTAATCATTAATTTCTCAGCTCCCTTCTTCCTCCACTTGTTGATTAAGATCTTTCATGACATTGATTTTGAAAAAATTTTTATTTTATTCTTTAGACGAATTTATTTTTTATTTTCATTTACTTTTTTGTTAAGTACAAAGTAAAAAATTAATGTGAGATGAAAAGATAGTTAAAATATACCATAGACTGTGAGAAAACATTTGTCTTAAGTACTTGATAATGGTTTGATACAGCATCCACTTCTGAAGTAGCTTGCCTCTGGAAACCCTATGAACCTGGAGAAAGGAAAAAAGTTATACAAGTGTCCAGGTCTTTCATTCATAGGCCTATGAATGAGTCACCTATGACTCAACGGCACTTAACAACAACCATCAAATCAACAGGAAAAAGCTGAACATTTCAGACCTGTGTATGTTAACAGGAAAATAATATTGACAGAAATTACACAGTTCCTATCTGTTTCTGTCCCCCGCACATAATTATCCTGTCGTTGACATCTTGCCTTGGTTTGGCGCATTTGCTAAAACCTGTGAATCAAGCGGAAAGTGGACATATAATATTTTACTGAAGTCAGACAGTCACTTTTTGTGCTGTGCACACCCATGGTTTTGACAAATGCTTGTGCCAAAAGACTGTCATATTAAACAGAGAAACTTCCTTTTTTAAATTTTTTAACTACCCAGTTCTGGATTGTCAGTCAGATCATTTGCATTCTAAACAAGACTGATTACTGAATTCTCTAGTCAATAGTGGATTAGATGTAGCAGTATAGAAGCTTCCAATAAGCAATCAAGAGAAGCTTCAGAGCCACTGCTCAGAAGGAAAGCTGAATGAGACCGTCTGTGAGCGAGTGGCCAAAGACCTCAAATAAAACCTTTCATTTTATTTCCCCACAAAAGCCCTGAGTGGTTTTCACATAGCTATCCAGTGGACACACTCCAAAATGACCAGTGGGCAGGGAGTCCAAGAGCACTGGTGCAGCGCTAGCTAGGAGAATGAGGAGAAAGGATGGAAGAGCCTGGGCAAGATTTTTACTGTGTAGTGGATAGGATAACATATTTCATTAACAAAACATAAAATTTAAAAAAAGAAAAAGAAAAAAAAAAAAACAGAAAAAGGGGGGAAAAAGGAAAGTTGAGGCTGCCCGCAGCAAGAAGCTCAAGCATGGCCGTGTGGATGGGACGTACGAAAAAGTGAAAAGCAAGAAACCTTGAGGCAGGAGAAGATCAGAGGCCATCAAAGGAAGATGGTGACAAGCAGCTTGTCATCTTTGGGGAGAAAATTAAAATTTTTTTTCTATAATTATATTTTATTAATTTTCATAAACATTTACAGAGATTTTGGGCTTCCACTCATTCATTGTTGCACTATTCTCTCTACCCTCCTCCCAGTTTGTTCTTGTCCAAATGCCACAGTGCTTGTCAAAGCCAGTTCTGATAAATCTTCTTTGTCAGTGTATCCTTTGCCATTCCCTATCACTCCTCCCTGAGAGAGACTTCACCCTGAGTCATAAGGAAAAGGGGACGGCGTATTCTCTTAGCTACTTCCTGCTGAAAAGGGACGCTGTGGGTTTCAGGGTGAAGATCTTCTCTCACTACGCTAAAGGGCCCCTTTGGCAGTAGGAAACACATAGACTATTATGGAGATTGATTTTGAAAATTAAAATTTTTTAATGATCATTCTCAGAAGTCAAATTCTTTGTGGTAGCAGAAAATGTTGCGTACATTCTAAAGTGAGAGAGCTGAAAGAAAGGTAAACTTTGTGATGGAGATGGCATTTAGGGTGGGAATTCAACAGTGGATAATCAGTGACCTCTGAACATGTGTGTGAAAAGGCCATCCCAAACACAATGAAACCTAAGTAAACAAAGCATAAACAAAGGTTTGCGTTAAAGCTATCAGTGTTCCTGGACAATGAAACTTTAGACAGCCATTCAGATCTTGTTTGTGAGTCAATTCAATGTTAAGAGGAAAGGCTACAGCATCATAAATGAAAGAAAATACCAATTTAAATATCTCGTGTGATATTTACTTCATAGGGAATAATTGGGAGGAAATTTTCCAAGACAGTAAATTTAGCCACAAGATTTCAGATTTTTTCTTTTCATTCATAGTCTGTTTTAAAAATGTTCTTAAATAAGCACTTTTACCTTTTTAATTTTTTCAATGTCACAAAACGTTTGTTATTTCAGCATTCTACAGATGTCTAGTTTAGGGACATTAATTATTCCCAACATATTCTTCAGCCACTACCTTCAACTTTCAACAGAAAAAAAAGGTGTACATATTTTTTTTTAAAGAGAAGAGGAAGCTGCAGAAAAGTTCAGGGTAATGGAAACACAGAACGGAGGAGTCTGAGAACTCTGGTTAAAGATGTGCTGCCCTGGCGACTGCAGGTTCCAACATGGGTAGCAGGAGAAGGACGCTCAATGGTATCCTGAGCTGGAGGGACTGAGGAGGAGAATGCAGTCCATGAGGGCAGTGACAGGGTATCCATCCACTTAGAGCCTGCAAAGGACCTGTGGATAGGCAGATGTGTTGTTAAGGAAGGAATGACTGAATGATAGTGGAAGCCCTTTCTGATGTCCAGTACTCCACACACCATTTGTCACTCAGTCCCTTCCAGCTCCATGAGCACTTCCACTTCCAGCACACCCAAGAGACCCATAAGTATCAGAGTGGGGTCTTCAATGGCTGATTTCCCTAAGATGGACCACCAGACTGGTCTTACAAGGTGGCTATGGATAGACATGATCTGCCAACTTAACTATTCTTAATTCAAAAACAGGTAAACACAATAATTATCTCTCTTTTCTTAACAGTTTGTAATGGAATTGGAATTGGTGAGTTTAAAGACACACTTTCTATAAATGCTACCAATATTAAGCATTTCAGAAATTGCACCTCTATCAGTGGAGACCTCCATATCCTGCCAGTTGCATTTAAGGGGTGAGTAACAGATGAATCCGCTGTGGAGAGCAGAGGGTAGCCTGCTTTTGTAAATTGGTCCAGATAGCTAATCAATAACCATTCTGTTACTCTTTCCAGTGATTCCTTCACACGCACTCCACCTCTAGATCCTAAGGAATTGGATATTCTCAAAACTGTAAAAGAAATAACAGGTTTGTACTGTTACATATGATTATCAGGGGGAAGTCAGTGTAGAGAACTTTTGGGCGTGTTTGTTTCTCTTTCACCAAACAAGCTCTTCTGAAATTCTTGGTTAATGATTAAGTTTTGGTATTTCTAAAAAATGCAGCTTCCTCTGCATGGGGAACACTAACACTGAGTCAAAGCTCTAGTTATTCAAGTCTTTGAGTGACTGTTTGTCACCCCTTGTCCTCCCTGGCTCTCACCTGCCTTCCTGATGGGCATGTATTTTAATGGGTAGAGAATGAGGAAAGGAAAGAAAATGAAATGAGATGAGGGGGGCTCTCTGGTCAACTAGTCTTCATATCCTTGCTTGGCCATTGGAAGGATGTGGATTATTAAGAGACCTCTGAGTTCTGCTCTATTTTCTTCATTTCCACAAAGAGAGTAATTAGACCTAAATAACAAGGTTAATTTTGAGGTTTGGGTTTAAATGAGGAAAACATGTAAAACTCTTCTCAGTAATAACAATTCCATAAGTGGTAGCTACAATTGGAAATAGAAGCCTGTTTGGTGGAGTCCATCAAGGATCTCAGGGGGTCGCAACACGGACAGCCTGCTGCATAGAGTTGGGGACTAGGAGACATGTAACAAGTGATATGCAGATCCATGGACAGAGCAACAGGCCTGTTACAAAGTTTTTTCTTGAGCTGGGCTGTGTGTGTATATTTTCAATTATGATGATAAATAGAAGGTCAAGCTTTCACATTTCCTATTCACATATAGTCAGTTATAATCCTAGAATAATGTCACATACAAAAAAAGAAATATAGACATGACATGTGTATGTGCCTGCCTTATACCTTGTAGGGTTTTTGCTGATTCAGGCTTGGCCTGCAAACAAGACTGACCTACACGCTTTTGAGAACCTAGAAATCATCCGTGGCAGAACAAAGCAACAGTAAGTTGACCCCAGCCAAAGCCTGGTTGGCTTTATTAATTTATTAGAACACTGATCGTATAAAAAATACTTTACAAAAGAAAATATTTCTTGACTAACTATCTGTAAACCTTGCTCAGAATTCTCTGGAATTCTCTTGGAATTCTTTCCTGGCCCATTATTCACACAGCTTTGTGAGATTGTAGCTAACATTCTTGTATGGCTGCTATAAATTAGGCACAATCATGCTTAGTTTTGGGCCTATAATAAATAAGATAATATATGAGTTCTTTTTCTTTTCAAAATGAGAATTCCGGTGATATACAATTCAGGGCCCATAAACTAGTCATGCTCCTAGCCAGCTACTCTGTCATTTTTAGGCATGACTCTCAACCTCATGCTCCCATAAAGGCTGCTGGAATGACAGCTATTACAACCATATGGTAGAAGAACTGATAAAGTACAGTGTGAGACATGCAACTGAGTCCATCCCTTGTTCACAAGCCATGAACTCTACCTACTCTTTAGTGTCTTCAACCAGGTCACATGGCCATATGTCTTGAGGACTGGATGGTAGTTTGGCCACAAAATGAGAAGAAAAAAGGAAGTGAATAAATAGGAATATGTTTCCCTAGCTTCTCCATAAGCCTTTCACACTTGACGTTAGGGAGATTGTATGTGATCACTTCTACAGTTGTGCCCTGGAGGAGTGTATGTGTGATTTTCTCTGAGTGCCACTAATCCCCTTACTGATTGACACAGAGAGCTGTCACAGAAGCAGGTCCTGTGGAAACAAGACAAGTGGCCATGCCAGATCCAGGTCTCAGCAGATAGTGGGATAGGATCTCTGTCTACCAGACATAGGGTGATGGTTGAAGGTCATTGACCCAAGGCCTCTCACCTCTCTCAGGAAATAGATAAGGGAAAGAAGCAATGAAAGACTGAGTTGCCAAACTGTACGTTAGATTTTGTGATCCAAACCCTTACCTACTGGTCTCTTCCTTGATTCACCCATTTTCCACACTAATGTTAAGTGAACTTCACAGAAATGCAAATCTATCTCCTGTTGTCTATCACTATTTTCAAGTAACTCTACACATAGCCTTCCCTGCTATTCCCCAGAACCACCTTCCACACTTCCTGCCTCCAGACTGATGGTCCAGCCAGGGCTTATGATAGTTGGCCCCTGCTCTGCCTGTGTTCTGCAGGTCTCCCTCTTTTTCTGCCCAGAAACTTCTGCACATGCCTTTTTTTCCAGTCAGTTCACAAATAGCATTGTATAATCCTAACCCAGAGACAGATGGTGAAGAATATATCATAGTTCCTTCTCTCAAGGTTGCCAGCATCTTGATATTACATGTTGGCAAATTCAGTCTAACTCACAGCGACTCTACAGGAAAGAGTAAAATTGTCCTGTGGATTTCCAGGGGATCTCTGATAACCTAGTGGGAAAGGAGTGCCCGAAGGCAGACAGCTTGAATCTTCCAGTTGCTCCATGGGAGAAAGATAGGCAATCTCTTTTCTTGGAATTTACAACTTCTGAAAACCTGCTGAGGGTTAGCTGTGAGTTGATCCTGACCCAAAAGCACATAAACAAACAACAACAGCAAAACCTGGGGTTTCCTAGGTTAAAGTCTGAAAGGAAGCAGATAACACAGTGTCTGCCCCAGGGGTGAACTGTGGAGTGGATTTAAACAGCTAGTCTCTCAGTTAACAGTAGAGCATGTCCCCCTGTTCCACCAGGGCTTCTTCTGAGTTAAACTCTGTCTTTCCAAGAAGCCCCTAAGACCCCACATCAGATGTTTTGCATACCTTGCCCTGTATTTCCATGATACTCCTCATATTTGAGTATCACTATTTATCTTCAAATGCTGAAGAACAGTGGCATTAGTTTAAATACTAAGGTGTACCTAATTTAAGCCATGGTCTTCTCAGTCACCTGCTGGGCATCAGAGAACTGCACAATGAATAAGGATGATAGAAGAATTGATGCCTTTGAATTTTTTGGTATTGGACAAAAATACTGAGTATCCCTTGGACTACCAAAAGAACAAACAGATTTGCATTGGAGAAAGGGTAGCCAGAGAGCTCCTTAGAAGTACGAATTGCAAAGCTTCATCTTTCATACGTTGAACATGTAGTTGTTATTGTTGTTGTTATGTGCTGTCTAGTCTCTTGTGACTCTTAAGACTGTATGTACAACAGCCCTAAACCCTGCTCTATTTTGTGCCAGTCGCACTGCTTCTGACACACCCACCTGATTACCCCAGTCACTGAATCAATCCACCTCATAGAGGGTCTTCCCCTCCTGCGCTGTCCCTCCACCCTCCCAAGCATGATGTACCTCTCCAAGGATTGGTCCCTCCTTACAACATATCCTAAGTATGTCAGATGAAGCCTCAGAATCCTTGCCTCCAAAGAGCAGCCTGATTTAACCCTCTCCAGGATGAATCTGTTTGTTTTCTTAGCAGTCCATGGTACACTCAGTACTATGCTCCAGCACCACAGCTCAAAGGCATCAATTCTCCTATACTTCCTAGTCATTATCCAACTCTCTGATGCATAACAAGTGATTGCAAAGACCATGGCCTGTATCAGATTCACCTTAGTCTCCAGAGTGACACCCTTGCTCTTCAGTACTTTGGAGATGTCCCTAACAGCAGACTTTCCCATAGCAATACATCTTTTAATTTCCTGGCTGCTGTTGCCAAGAGTGTTGACTGTGAAGCCAAGCAAACTAAAGTTGTTAACAATTTCAATCTCCTCACCATCCATCCTGATGCTGTCAGTTGGTCCAGTGGTGAGAATCTTTATCGTCTTGATATTGAACCTCATTCCATATTGAAGGCTGCACTCCTTGACCCTCTGCAGCAAGCGCTTCAGGTCCTCCTCAGTTTCAGCAAGCAGGGTTGTGTCATCTGCATAATGCTGATTGTTAATAGATCTTCCACCAATCCTGACGCGACACTTCTCCTCATAGAGCCCAGCCTCGTGGATAATCTGCTCTGCATCCAGGTTGAAAAGGTATGGAGATAGGACACATCTCTAGCATACACCCTCCCCAGTTTTGAACCATGCAGTGTTTCCTTGCTCTGTTCTGAGGACTACCTCTTGGTCCATGTATAGATTTCACATTAGCACCATCAAGTGTTCTGGGATTCCCATTCATCACAGAGTCAGCCCCAGTTTGTTGTGATCCACACAGTCAAATGCCTTTGCATAATCAATGAAACACAGATAGATATTCTTCTGGTATTCCCTGCTTTCAGCTAAGATCCATGTAGTTAGGTGAGGCTATTCCTTGGGAAGGATATCATGCTTGAAAGATGAAGGGTTAGCAAAGGAGAAGAAGACCTCCAGCAAGATGGATTGATAAGGTAACTTCAGTGGGCTCTAGTGTGTCAAAGATGATGAAGATGGCATAGGATAGGACAGGATTCAGGTCAACTGTTGATGGGTCACTTTGAGTTGTACTTGATTCAAAGGCAAGTAACAAAAACATTTACCACCAGGAACTCTGATGGGGTGATAATAGTTTAATGTTAGGCTACTAACTAAGTGATCAGAGTTCTAAATCACCAGTCACTCTATGGAAAAAGCTGAGAAAGTCTGTTCCCAAATGATTTACAGCCTGGGAAATCCAATGGAGGGTCATCAGAAATAAGAATCAACTGGACAGGAGTTGTAATGGTATTCCTCTCTCAAGTCTGTGAGTGGTATGGTATTTCATGCACTCAGCTGGTCACTGAAAGACTTGTTGGTGGTCCAAGTCCATCGGAGCACCTCTAGGAGAGAATTCTTGCAGTCCACTTCTAGAAAAGATCAGCCTTCAGGAGGTACATTCTTCCAGACACACATGGGGCCGCCATTGATCAGAATCAGCACAGTAGCACAGGCTTCATACTCAGCACCCATCGTGAAAATAAGCTGTTTATGTGGATGTATCCCATGAGCCTGACCACCTGGAGAGTGGGAACGGTGTTCTTTATAAAACCTGAGACACTTTCCCAATAAATATTTGTTCAATAAATGGATACATGCTTGTATATATATTAATAGTAGACCTATTAATGTGTCTTTAGATTTTGGGGAAATGCTTTCACTTGCCAAACAAAAGAAACATACAATAAATGAAACAATGACTTCAAAGAGACATTTCTTCAACCCCAGTCTAACAAGCACTGGTGTGAAGGTAAAAAACTGAGCAAGAAACTGTATTGTCCCTGAATGAGCTGAACACTTAACGTTGTTTTCAAAAATAGTGATGTATTTCAATTTATGGAAGGTATTTGTAGTATGTCGAAGGCTGTCCAGAAAAACAAAGTTCTCCATGGCATAAAGTGTTCCTGACGTTTCACATATTGTTTTTCTTCCTGCCAACATAGTGGTCAGTTTTCTCTTGCGGTGGTCGGCCTGGACATAACATCCTTGGGATTACGCTCTCTCCGGGAGATAAGTGATGGAGATGTGATCATTTCAGGAAACAAAAATCTATGCTATGCCAATACCATAAACTGGAAGAAACTTTTTGGAACTTCAAGTCAAAACACCAAAATTATAAACAACAGAGCTGAAAAGGACTGTAGTAAGTAATAGCTTTCACTTTTTATTTCAGTGACTGTTTAAATTATTTCTTTGCCTTATGTGAAATGTTGAAGGACCATTCCCACCCATTCCAGCTAGTTATTTCATTCATTAAGAAGTAAATTAATAACATCAGTACATTTCTTTCAAAACTTAGGAGCCATATGACATTTGTTAGAATTGCTTATGAATCATCCTCATTCTTAGAATGAATTTGCTTTGAGGCTTAGACTGCCAATTATTTGTGACTTATAAACCAAATATATTAATAATTGCTTATTTGCTTTATGCTTCTCCCTGCTCATTTCTGCTCCTGTGGTCTGTCTTTGTGTAAGCATGCATGTACACATCAGACACATGGAAACACTGTTGCTCCGGTATACAAGAATGAGAGTAACATTTAGCACTAACATTTCTTGTTCTGCTTTTAGATCTCTAAACCAGCTTGGAAGCTAGGGAGACCCTGGCCAGTAACAGACACAAATCCAACTTCAATTCCTGCCTTTGGCCCTTTCTACCTCGGAAGCCTTAGTCAATTTCTTCGATTTCTTTAGATTTGACTTTCTCATCCCTAAACTAGAAATTACAATTCCTGCAATACCCTAGTTGCTGTTGCTGTTAAGTGCCGTCGAGTCGTAGGTGATTCATAGAGATCCTGTGAATGAAAGTTCTCAACACGTGTGATTTTCATCCTTTCTCCAGGTTCATAAAGTTTCCCTAGCATGAAAAGAATTATTAAGTGAAAACATTTCCCAAATATCTAAATACACATTAGTATTATAGGTCCATCTGTTTATATATGCAAGCAAGCATCCATTTATTAAATACATATTTATTGTGAAAGTATGTCTCTGGCTTTTAAGAGCATACCTTCCCTGCTCCTAGGGTGCTTAGGCTCATGGGATACATCCACATAAATAGCTAATTTTTACCCAGGGTGCTGAGAGTCAAGCTGGTGCTATCACATGTGCAGTAATTTAGCAGGTGCCCACATGCAGGGAAGAGTCCACACCTTTCCCTGTTGTGACTGTCAGCTCTGGCAGTATTTTTTGCAAATTCCAGACGTTACTATTTTCTGGCAACCTCTAAAGTGCACACAAGTCAAGATCACAAAGAACAGAGCACCCCTCACTTGCACTGTTGTCTCTAGCAGTAACTAGTCTCCAGTCCTTTCTTGACTCTGTGGTGTTCATTCTGCGTTTGCAGAGGCCGAACACCGTATCTGTGACCCCTTGTGCTCAGTTGAGGGCTGCTGGGGCCCAGAACCCAGAGACTGTGTTTCTTGCCGCAACGCCAGCCGAGGAAGGGAGTGTGTGGACAAGTGCAATGTGCTGGAGGGGTAAGGCACTCAATTTATCCCTTTTCCCTCATCCTAAAGGAAAACTTGAGATTGTTTTTAAATGTTTATGTTTATTCATTTTGACTTTTCTGTTTTTTTTTTTTTTGCAAACAGCTAATTGTCATAAGAAATGAACAGATATTATTTTTATTATTAGGATCTTGCAAAATAAAAAATAATTAAAATTGCCTCCTTTACTACACTCATTTGAGTTTTATTCAAAAACTTTACAATTGCCCGATCAGCTATGTTCTGCTCTTAATAGAGAGGACTATCGTCCTCTGTAGAATTATGCAGTGTGCATTTCAAACCCAAAAAGCCATTATTGTTGGGATCTTCTTTTCTGAAAGTAGATTCTATTTACTTGAATGGCCCACAGTTCCATCAGCAAGTTGTAGAACTGTCATAAATGGTTCTTGTGGCCATGATCACAGTCATTGGATCTTTAAAGTAAAATATTTCTGGTGTGTCAAAATATATTATTTTTGTTGTTGTTTACTATCAAGTCGGAACTGACCCACACCTCACCCTCCAGTAAGTTTTCAGAGGCAATAAATGGCATGGGAGGAAATTGCCCATCTTTCTCCGGTGGAGCAACTGTTGGATTCAAATCCTGAGGCTTCAGGATTGCAACACAAGTTCTTACCAGTAGGCCACCAGAGCTCCAGAAATTCTATTTCCTAGTTAATATTTATTTTATGTTTATCGATAGAGGAACTATCTTATAAATGTTTAAGATAATATAGTTGCAATCAATAAAGAAGCACAGTGTTGTTAGTACTGTAAGACTCCAGATATTAAGATTTGACAAAAAAAAATTAAAATGACAAGAAATAGATTAAACATAAAATAAAGGATAGAGCGTTAGGCCAATTTTTAAATTTGTAAAGAAAAAAATGTTGTCATAGAGAAAAACCTAAGGGAAATACGCATGACAAACCCACTGTCAACTCTATGGGAGAACGATGAGATGATCTGTTCCCATTAAGATTTACAGCTTCAGAAACCTGCAGGGTCAGTTTTACTCTGGCCTGTAGGGTTGATGTCAGTACAAGTTGTAATTGACATGACAGCAGTGAGTAGGACATCTTATATCCTTTTTCACAACCAGAGAACAGACCACAGCCTAGATACAGAATTTTTCAGGGGCAGGATGAGAAGACCAAATTCAACCTTAGCTGGTTGAATAGAAATAGGAATCTCTTAGCTTATATGTACATTAACCTAGACAGAAAGGGAAAAAATGTATTCGCTCACATATTGCTGTTAAGTCAGCACCGACAAGTAACGATGTTTCAGTGGGTTTCTGAGGTTGTAAATCACAAATAAGGATATTGCCCATTTTTCTCCCATGGAGCCACTGGTGGATACAAACCAGCAGAGAAGCATGGCCTTTGGACTAGCAGAGCTGCCAATGGACTATGACTCTAGAGCTCCCTTATTTAAACTACAAATAACAAATATATGTCAATCTCACTGCTCCAAATAAATATTTAGTGTTTTTAAAGAGCCACAACATCTAAAAGAGCCAGTTGGGCCTTACTCTGGAGCCTCTCTCATTGTCTAGAGAATGTTGTTGATCAGTAGCATCTGCCCTGATTTTCCAGGTTTCCCTCCATCAGACAAGAAGCAAAATAAAACAACACTCAAGTTATTTAGTGTAATTAATTCTATTTGTCTAAAGGGAAGACTAGGTTACACTTTTCATTGTCCTGACACTCCTTGATCACTCTGGAGTGGAGATTTACAGTTCATTTCCAAGCAGATTTTCCTTTTCTTAACTATGCTTTCAACCATTTTAACTTCAAGAAAGCATCAGCTTCTTGATCAATGTTGAACTGCATCTTTGAAGAATGTTGAAAATATTATTAGCAATTTTTTTTCACATCCTATTTATAGTTTTCACAAGGAACCATTTAAGCAAATTTAAAAATCCTTCCCTCCTTTTCCTACATTTTTTCCTATAGCTAACATTTTGGCCCTGTACATTTTTTAAAAAAAATACATGATGGCATTCAAGCAATTGAGTTAGTTCCTTATAGTCTAGGCCAAATGAGCTCCAACTGTTTGACCTTTATCTACAATTATTTTGACTTTCCAATGGAGGTGACTTTTATTACCTGACATTTTAATCAGATGGATAGAAAGGGTCATAGATGCAAAGCATTGAAGGGTTTTGTGAGCTGACATTCATCCATCTCATTTCTTCCTCTCACAGACAGCCAAGAGAGTTTGTGGAGAAATCCGAGTGTATAGAGTGTCATCCTGAATGTCTGCCCCAGCCCATGAACGTAACCTGCACCGGACGCGTAAGGAGCCCAGTTGATTGTCTTTACTTCATAGGAAAATGCTTTCATAGAAGTAGAACCCTGGCAGTGATCCAGAGTCATCTTGTAGCTGCCAAGTACCAAGTTCAATTCTCAGATGAGAGACAGTGTAATCTTATGACCGTGAGAAAGTGACTGTATTTGATTTGATAAATTTAATGATTCTGTTGTTCTGCGAAAAAATATGAAAGCATTTTTACTCATTTCTAGATTTCATCTATACACGATGTGTATAGTTGCTGCTGATTCTGCATTTGGCTCTTGGGAACCCCAGAAACAATGAGATCAGACCGTGGTCATCAATCCATAAGCTTCTCACTGGCCAGTTTGCAAAAGTAGTTGACCAGGGTTTTCTTCCCAAGCCCTCTTGGTCTGGAAACTATGCTGAAAAAGTTATAAGATTTCATATATTGTTGAACAGTTTTCACAACTTCTGGCATCTCGCGTCATTGCATCATCATTTTTATCAACTAGTGCCAATTTCTTACTTAACTTTCAACAAATTCACTATCATCAGTCAGAACTCACTTAGAGCGGACCCTTCAGTGGACTTTTGGAGACTGTAAAATACATGGGAGGACATTGCTCATCTTTCTTCCACAGAGCAGCTGGAGCATTAAATTGTCTACTTTAAGGTTGGCAGCACAACTCCTTACCACTTAGCCATCAGAGATCCATAATTTAGTTTATGATTTCTTAAATAATTTTGAAACAACTTTTTTTGTGTTTTTTTTCTCTTAATTTTTATTTTATATTGGTTTGCTTAAGAAGTTCATATACATTGTGTTTCACACTAACCTTCATTCATACAATCATTCCCATGAATTCTGTTTTGTAAAATTAATCATCATTAGACAGTGCTCATCACTAACCCTCTGTCTTTTCAGGTTCCCAGTGAATCTTTCTTATCATTTCTTTTACCCCCTCCCTTCACCCACCAAATTGTGCAACACTGTGATTTCACCCCCACAAATCCTCACCCCTCTGCTCCCACCCCTGCCCCCTTTGGGTCCACATACTTATTTTACTAGTTATCTTTCTATGTTTACAATAATGTTCATAGCCACATTATTCACCATCTCAAACATGGAAATAGCCCAAATGTCTGACCACAACTGAATGAATTGAGAAATTGTGGTACATTCACACAATGGAATACTATGTAGCACTCAAGAGCAACGATTTAAAAAAAAAATTAATAATTTTAAAGAATTATATTGAGTGAACTAATTCAGTCTCATAAGGACAAATCCTGTTTATTTCTTTTATTAAAAATTTTTATTGAGATTTTAGTGAGTTTATAGATAACTTGAATTTTCATTCATTGTTGTACATTTTCCTTTCTGTCCCCTCCCAATTCACTTTTCTTTTTGGAAAAAGACCCCTTTCATTGTTGTACAATTCCCCACTCCCCACACAAGTCCACTTTACTATGCAGCTCTTATTCTGGACTATTGTCATACAAATAATACTTAATCATATATTCCTTTTAAGCAGTTCTTTCCTTCATTTGTTTCAACATAGTGTACATTATTTATACCCTCTTTTCCTAGTTTCCCCCAAAACCCAATGTCATTCCTGTTTTATAACAGTGGCATTATGCACTATTTGTGCTTTTGTGACTGAGATATGTCACTCAGCATAATGTCCTCCAGAGTCACCCATTTTGTATATTTCATGAGTTCCTTGTTTTTCAGTGCTGCATAGTATTCCATTGTGTAAATATACCACAGCTTCTCTATCCATTCTTTTGTTGATGGACATTTGGCTTGTTTCCATCTCTTTGCTATTGTGAACAACACAGCAGTAAACATGGATGTGCATATATCTGCTTGGGTGGCAGTCCTTGTTTCTTTAGTGTACATTTTCAGTAGTGGAATTGCTGGTTAAATGGCATTTCTATTTCTAACTTTTTGAGAAAGAGCCATTCTTCCTTCTATACTAGTTGCACCATTTTACACTCCCACCAACAGTGAATAAGGATTAAATACTGTTTATTTAATAGAATAGTTTTTTATTAAATCCTTGTTCCTTAGTACTGCATAGTATTCCATTGTATGGATATACCACAGTTTGTCAGTCCATTCATGTGTTGATGGACATTTGGACTGCTTCTCTTGTTTTTGTTAATAATTCTGCTGTGAAGAACATCGATGTACATATCTCCATTCATGTTTCTGTTCTAATTTCCATGGGGTATATTCCTTAAAAGTAAATAGTTGGATCACATAGGATTTTTGTGTTCAGCCTTTTAAAAATAATTTTATATTGCATGTAAAATTAGCACACATTGTGTTGCAGTAATGTACATTGTGTTGCATTGTGTTTCATATGGTCCTTTCCATATACTGTGTATTCTAAAATTACCATTGAATTATGCCCCCTATCACTCTATCTTAATTACCATTGATCTAAGCCCACTATCACTTTATCTTTTCAGGTCCCCATTAGATCTATTCTAATTCCTTCACATCCTCTATCCACCCACCAAACTCTGTGACCTGTGATTTATCTCCCATGAGGAACCTGCAACGCTCCCTTCCTTTTTTGTACTGTTATCCACATCTTACTAGTTATTCTTCTGTTTTTACAATAATGGTATTGTAAAATATTTGTCCTTATGAGGCAAAGTTGTAAGCATACACTGGTGATTGGGACATGGAATGTGAGAACCATGAATGTAGGAAAATTAGATATTGTTAAGGAAGAAATGGAACGCATAAATATTGACATACTAGGCA